GAAATAAAATAAAAAATAAGAATAGTTATCTTACACCAGAAAATTTGTTGCTTATATGATTTATTTCTGTATGTTAATTAAATAAATTTTTTTTAGCTTTTTGTGAATATTTATCCTTTTACTGGGAAAGTCAAAAACTCCTTTCACTATTTTTTATTATATATGGTTGATCGAAAACTTTCCTTATTTTTATTATATACTTATTATTTTTACGTTTTTTCCTACAGTCAAGAGACCATAAAATTTTTTTTAGAATTTACGATTTCTTGAAAATGACTCTCAAATCTTGCATGGAATATACTTAATTATAATCTAATGTCCATTTTACTATCAATGTAAATTAACTTTAATCTTGGTTTAACTTATTTATTTCTATCTTTTTTTAATTCTTAGAACTAGAAAAAGATAAAAGTTAACTATAAGATAGCCAATAACCGAGTTAACCGAGATTAAAGTTAATCTGTATTAAATTGATATAGAAATGGTCATAAAAGTGACCGACTAAACTTCGATTAATTCAATTAATGATGAATTTAACTAAAACTGTTTGGTGCAAAATTTCTAAATTACATAATTCGTTCCATAATTTTATTTGCATTTATTAAATAAAAAATGAATTATTTTATTAAAATGTCAACAAAATAGTAATATATTGTATTATAAAAAAATTAATCGCCGCTTAATTAAATTATAATCAGAATCAAGTCGAAGCCGCGTTTAATTATATAAAAGTGTCCTGCTACTTGGATCAACCCAGCAAACACCGATGATAAAAACTTTCTTCTTATCTTAATTGATCAGTAAATCCACCTGAAATATTTTAAAGAAGTTACAATTTCGCAAGCTGTAGAGCTGTTTTGTATTTATAATAATTTCGATTTTATAATAATTATTATCTAATTTTATAACAATTCTTATTTATGATAACTTTTTTATTATCAAAACCGCAACAAGTAAAGAATGACAATATAGTATCTTTTATTTGAATAATAATTATATAAATACCAGAAGTTTTTAAAAATACATATCGCGAGATACATGCTATCTATACAAGTCTAATAAAATTTTCTCAACTATCTATAAAGCCTCAAAGTATCCGACATATGTTCAGTATTTATAGATATGAAAATTTAGATAACATAACAGTAAAATTATTAAATGCGCAGCCACATGGCTGCGAAAGGAAGGAGAGATGGGAGAGAGTTCGGAACGCGGCTTGAGGCGGCGAGAGCGCCATCTGACGGCGCGGCGGGTGAGGCAGCCTCTCAATCGACACGGCCGCGTATCTACGGCCGCGGCGTACATAATACATCCTCGTTCCGGCATTCTCTGGATACGTGTCCGTCCGTCACCGTGCGTCCCCGTGTGCCGTGTGTGTTCCCCCGCCTGCGTGTTGTCAGTCACCAGAGCTTAGCCGCTTAGCGCTCACGGCACACATCACGAATTATATATGGGGATTGTCCGCCGTCGCCGCGTCTCGCTGGTGAGATCATCTCTCGTACGCGCGTAAAGGGCGCCCGGCCCGGTCGTCGGCGCGCCTTCGCTCGTTCAGGAACGGACAAACATGCTGCGTCGGGGACGGCAGTTGCTCTGCCTTCTGGCGCTCGGCCTCCTCGCGCCCGCGGCCCGCGCCGACGAGCACAATCACGTCGTAAGTATATACATACACCTGCTACGCTGGCGGCGTCGCTCCGGCACCGAGTATCAGGTCGCGATAGCGACCTGCTGTTGGCATTTAAAGGCCAAACGCCACGCCGCTGCGGACACGTCTCTTTACGCTATCTCTTTCTCCCTCTCCTTTCCACCACGTCTCTCTCGCTCTCCGTTTATTTGCACTCCTTTTATTTGCACTGCTGCATCGACGCGATATCGTCTCTACTTGATATGTATCTGGAAAAATCGTTTATCAGTATGCCTAATTAGCACCAATAAATTCCGGTATCGATTCCACAATGTAGCTTTATTTCAACTCTTAAAAAAAAGGGCACAGTTCAGAATGTGACATGGATCAGCTGGACTTTGTTTTCAGTACGAGGATGGCGACGAGGTCGTGCTATGGATGAGCACCGTAGGGCCGTATCACAATCGTCAGGAGACGTACTCCTATTACTCCCTACCCTTTTGTACAGGCACCAAGAATGTCATTAATCATTACCATGAGACTCTGGCAGAGGCTCTACAGGGCATCGAGCTGAAGTTCAGTGGCTTAGATATCGAATTTAAAGGTGTGCATTTATATATCGATATATATTTATAACTGGCAATGATACAAACGTACAATTGGTTTGGTCAGTATTGTTTGATCAAAAAATGTACAAGGTACAAAATTATGAAATTTTAATGGGATGTTTCAGAGGATATCTCGAAGACAGAATACTGCCAGATAAGTTTAAATGAAGAGAGCCAGAAGGCGTTTGCATATGCGATAAAGAATCAGTATTGGTATCAAATGTACATTGACGATTTACCAATATGGGGTAATTAACATAAGTACTTCTTATTGCGCGTATTGAGCTGGCAGAACCTGACATCTAAACATCATTGTGTTACAGGGGTTGTAGGAGAGATGGAAAACAATGACGGAGTTGCGGTATCAGATTCCTATTACATCTGGGCGCATAAAAAGTTTGATATCGGATACAACGGTAAACAAATAGTGGATGTTAATCTGACTAGCGACAACAGAGTGAAACTGGTGCAGGGCGCACGTATACCTTTTAGCTACGAAGTCAATTGGAAAAAGAGTAATATCAAATATGAGGATAGATTCGACAAGTATCTGGATCCTAATTTCTTTCAGCATAGGGTAAGTTTGTATGGCTTGAGATATATTTATTTAACCCTTCGCAGAACAAGTAGGGCTTTAAAGACCCGATCGATATTTCAGTTTTGAATTTTTGGGAGATTTTACGGACTCATAAAAAAAACCCAAACAAGAATCAAGCATATATGACAATATATTCTTAAAATCTCCGAAAGTATGCTTGAATTTTTTCAGATTTTTTTATGGCACTATTACAGCTTGAAAATCTTAACTGGCCTAAAAGACCCACACGTTCGACGGAAGCAGCAAAATTACACGTGTTCTGCGAAGGGTTAAAATAACGAATATAAAACAAAGAGTATACATTGTATAAATGTACAAATCTTATTCTTTTTCCAGATACACTGGTTTAGCATTTTTAACAGCTTCATGATGGTAATTTTCCTTGTCGGGCTTGTCTCAATGATTTTGATGCGCACTTTGAGAAAGGATTATGCTAGATATAGCAGAGACGAGGAAATGGACGATATGGAAAGGGATTTGGGCGACGAGTACGGTTGGAAACAGGTACACGGAGACGTGTTCAGGCCTGCGAGTCATGCTATGCTCTTCTCAGCTCTCATAGGCGCAGGCTATCAGGTACATATTTATTTCGATAATTTAATTCTTTAAAGTAAAAGAATAAAAGTTGTGAGTAGCTCTATTTTTGTATATAAAGGTCACCGTGGTGGTATTGAGCGTAATTATCTTCGCTATCCTGGGCGAACTCTATACGGAACGCGGTTCAATGTTGTCAACGGCGATATTTGTCTATGCCGTCACGTCGCCTATCAATGGTTACACGGGTGGCGGACTGTACGCGCGGATGGGTGGACGCGTGTGGATCAAACAGATGATCATCAGCGCTTTTATGCTGCCGCTCATGGTCTGCGGCACCGCTTTCTTCATCAATTTCATCGCCATGTATTACCACGCTAGCAGAGCGATACCCTTCGGATCCATGGTTTGTAACCCGTATATTCGAACTTGATCGTTCCCGTGTCCACTTTGCATTCAAATCACCTTAATATGATCACGTCAATTGTACGTGCACAGGTTGCGGTGACGTGTATCTGCATATTTGTGATATTACCGCTGACGCTGGTAGGTACCATTCTAGGCCGTAATCTCGCTGGGACACCGGACGCTCCGTGCCGTGTGAACGCAGTGCCACGACCAATACCCGAGAAGAAATGGTTCATGGAACCGCTAGTGATCATAATGCTCGGCGGCATCCTACCCTTCGGTTCGATCTTCATTGAGATGTATGGAGTCACTTTATTGATATCTTAAGTTATTCATTTAATAGTCATTTGTTACATCCGTCGACGCTTTCAGGTACTTCGTCTTTACCTCATTCTGGGCGTACAAGATCTACTACGTCTATGGTTTTATGTTACTAGTGTTCGTTATTCTCATGATAGTGACGGTATGCGTCACTATCGTATGTACATATTTCTTACTGAATGCCGAAGACTATCGATGGTAAGTCCCCATCGTGTACATCTTGTTTTTTTCTTTTTTTGTACAATGTGTAAATATCCGCAGGCAGTGGACGAGCTTTCTTGCAGCGGCTTCGACGGCCGGTTACGTCTACATTTATTCCTTTTACTACTTCTTCTTCAAAACTAAGTGAGTAAATATACGCTTCTGATAGCAAGCAATTCGAACGAGCAAATATTTAAAGTTCCATTAACATTCGTTTGATGTTTTGCTTTTGCAGAATGTATGGTCTCTTCCAAACGGCGTTTTATTTCGGCTACATGGCATTGTTCAGCTTGGCCCTAGGTATCATGTGCGGAACGGTCGGATATATCGGTACCAACGCATTCGTGCGAAAGATATATTCCACAGTCAAGATAGACTAAAAGTACATCACTGATTAAAGTATTCGCATCGTGGATTGTACGATGTAATTCCTAAAACTGCGCGCGCGACACTCGCTGCTCTCAACGAAATGAAGTATATACTTCATTTGTCCGAAGTAGCTGTCCGTCACGTCGAGAGTGCGATTCTTGGTTTTTTTCAGCTTTACTCATCATCGACTTAATTAATATCCACTCTAGAAGCGGCACGACGTGTGTCCCTCGATGTATTATTACTCTTCCAACGGGAACTCACGCCGTCGCATGTCTATCGTTAGATATTCGAACGTCTTCATCTCGTATTCGTTCGTTTGTCCCTTTTCTTTCCAGTCGTTTCTCGCTATTCGATGCAAATAAAAGATGCGCTGTAAATGGATCCTACTGTATTGGTACGCGTACTGTATTGCGCGTGTCGCAAATACAGTCACTTGTCAATAATAAAATAATAATTGTAAGTGTTAGTCGAATCCCATGTGCGAGTCCGAGCTATTGTACGAACAAAACTTCTGCAATCGTGCAAATTTAATATTGTCATACATTTTTTATTGATCCAAATATGCCCGTAAAAAGATAATCAACGTATATAATGGAGGGGTAAGAACCACAGTGGCGTAAGTAAAATTTTTAAAAATATTTTCTCGTGTGCATAGATGCAATTTATATATTGTACAGATTGCATCTATGCATACGAGAAAATATTTTTAAAAATTTTACTTACACCACTGTGGTTCTTACCCCTCCATATATATATATACATATATGTATATATTTAATAATATAATATATATATTTAATATTATAATATATTAATTATTACATATATATAATGAAATATAATTGCACGGTCGCGACTATTCTTCATCACATACGTTTATCTCTCGCTTGCGAACGGCACAAAAAATTGATCGCCATCGTACAAAAATCAAGAAGTCTAGATTTGTTTTTTATTCAGGGATTTCAGCTCGGACAATGAAATATAAAAAAAAAAATTATGCAAAATAATTTTTCTTGACTCTTGAAAACGCCAAGTAGAATGTTGCAATACTGAAAATTGTAATAAGCCGCGGTAAATTAGACGTGCGAAAATTTATGCATTATAATTTATTAAATTCATAGTTTTACAAGACTCTTTCGTTGATACACAAACAGTGTATTGGAGTGACTGTGACTTAAGTCATTTTCTAATTTCGCGATTGTCGAGTCGGTTCACCATTTACACGTTTCATTATCAACGGAAAGCTCTTATCGTTAAGCTAAATGGTTCGGAGTAGGAGGGGGAACAGGAATCGTGACGCAAAGTGCCGAGATGCGAGATCTTGCTTGCGGTACGACGGTCGCATGGATTATGATCTCGTCCGCATTGTCCTTTCTTTACCATTTGAATTTCCTGCCTGTAGGATTCGCGAATGAGTCCACGCTCACGTTTCTCTTCCGCGGGCGGGCAATCACTCCGCAAATCGATCGCCGTCGAGAGACGAGAGAAGTTCAATTCCGCAAACGCGCGATTAGAATTAGGTACCCGAGTAAGAGATATAACGATGAGAGTATTACGTTTCAGTGATTTTACCGAGAGACTAATGTTGGTGGGAGTCTTCGAAAATAAACAATTTGTTGTTAGATGTAGTGATTCTGGAAAAAAAATATATAAAATTTCTACGTATACAACAACGATCGCATAGGCTTCGTTTCTTTCCCTGCGCTCCGGCGAATTTGTTGCTGGAATTTTGTCCTACATGTTTCTTGATGTGAAGTGACAGAATTTGAGAAGTTTATGTTTTTTATATTGGACAGTGTAACAAAATTTTCATGTGCATCCATCTCTCGAGTTATTTAGGATGGATAAAAGATAATCTTGCTTTTTCATATCATCACTTTAACAAACGATATAAGACACACAATGTGCTTTTCACTTCTATGCCATATATTTAAAGCACCAAAAATTAATGACTATTTTAATTCTGAAATAACTAATCATTTCAACAGTAGTGATACATCTTGTTCTTTTACATTAGAAAATAAAAAGTTTAATCAGTATTTTAATTGATCGTAAAGTAATTTATTTTAATAACAATAATAATATCTCGTGTATTAAAAATTCAAAAGTTTAATCAATATTTCTATTAATTCCAAAGTAAAATGAATAATTTTAACGGCAGTGATACGTCTCGCTCTCGTATATTACAAAATCAAAACCAATCAATGTTTCAATTAATCCTAAAGTAAAGTAAAATAATTTTAATGGAACATCTTGTTCTATATTAAAAAATCAAAATTTTCCCGCCGCGAACATGGCGGACGTCCATCCTCTTCCGATTCAGATGAACGCTTGCTCTCTTTTTTCGCTTTTACGTTCGCTGTTCGCTTTTTCTTACATTTACACAGTCACGCTCGGGAATAAATATCGCAGCTGCTGTCGAGGGAGAGCAACGTCGATCGCCGCGGACGAACGCGAGGAACTCGCTCAATCGATCACGGTGGTGACAGTGTGGCACGAGGGAGCCGGAGCGGGCTGTCGCGCAACTTCACGTGTCACACGGCGCACACACGTCGGCGAACGCGTCGCGGGCGGCGGGGGCACGTAACGACGCTCGCGTCACACGTCTCGCGGACGCCCGGACACGGTGCTCGGAAGTCGGACGGTACATCCATCGTTAACGGTGATTTGTCAGGGGGAGCACGCTCGTCCGCGCTCATCTCTCATCTCTCCTGCCGCGGGCTCTTGCCGAGGGAATCGTACGGACGTGGACGATGGCGCCGAAGCAGCGGATGCGCATCGCGAACGAGAAGGCGACGAAGAACATCACGCTACGGGGAAACGTTCCCAAGTCGACGGTGAGTCCTCGCCGTGCCCGAATCGCCGGCGGCCGGCCGTGCGGTACTCCGGAGCGGACGGACCGCTCCGGAAGCTACCTCGCGGCTTTCAATTCGGTTGTAAAATCGCGCTGGATATCGTCCCCGCCGAAATCCGGCGGAAATTTCGAGAGGAGGATCTTCACGGAGGTCCGTCGCGCCTGGCGCAAATAACATATGGACGAGGGTCGAAATGGGTCGAGATGGAAAGATTCAATTTGTATGCGCGATCGGCAGATCGCGATGATTTTCCTCGCCCACCGGGTCACGCGCGTAACTGTCAGTCTGAAATATTGAGGTTATAGACGGACGTTTGTTCCTGACAGATGGCTGTCAAATGAGATTGGACGTTCGGTCGGAAGATGGTTTACCTCGTGGCGAAAGAATCTTGAGTGTGTCAACAGGCAGAAATCTTCCATATGTAAAGCACCCAGACAGCACGCATGTCTAAAAGACGTAAAGACATCTTTAAGTCATCTTTTAGACATACGTGTCAAAACAAACGTTGAATTAATTAATTTATTTATCGATTGAATTAATTTATCGATAATGTCTCTGTCGCGATGTTTATCCATATGCTCCATTTGTTTACTCAAATGGACGTGCCTGGTATCCGATTCACTTTCGTTTATATGTATATGTGTTCCATCTGTCACCTGATACTCATGTCTGTAGCTAAAACAGAAACTTTTGTTACACTAGAAAGCGCAAGAGGAGGGATCTCCGGTTGGGCCCTGGCTCTTGGCTCTGTTTCTCTTTGTCGTTTGTGGATCTGGTGAGTATGATCGCGTGTGATGATCTAGATATGTCAGTTTGCAATCAAACTTCTCTATCTTTAATACCTAGAAGCAATCAAACACTCTGTTCTTCGTATTTCCTCTCCAGTTTTTATTCTATTACAATGAAACGTCCACGAATCAAAAGTATGCTAAAATATTTTTATTCTATGCATGCATGGCCAAGTAACATAATGGGAGTGGAGAAGAAGCTAAGTACAGATCCTAAGTATGCTGGGGATAGGGAAGTTTGGCAGTAACTTTATACGCAACTTGTTTGTGATATTATATAAATTTGTAAATTTGTCCTTTAAGCACTTATCAGTCAGAAGTCATTTGTATTTGGAGGGGTAAGGCTGCGGTCCACTTGACACTACAAATGCTTCGAAGCATTCCTTTTCTCTTTTCTTTCAATGAAGAAAGAAGGAGAAGAAGAACGCTTCGAAGCATTTGTAGCGTCAAATGGACCGCGCTTTAAAAGCCATAGTGGTGTAAGTCAAAAATTTTAAAATATTGACTTATGTGCATAGATGTAATTTATATATTGTATAGATTGCATCTATGCACACGAATCGATATTTTAAAACATTTGACTTACACCACTATGGCTTTTACCCCTCCATTTAAAGGTTTATACGTTTGTATTATTCTATGAAGCACCCTTCAATTGACATTGTTTGTTACAGCCGTGTTTCAAATCATCCAGAGTATCAGAATGGCTTGAAGATGAGGGAGATGAAGGCGCTACTGTTGATCTTTAGACCGACAAACCAACTCGTTTACAATTCGTCGATATGCGAAAGAGACTGACAAACCGTTTTAATATAGATTGTAAAGAAGATCGGAGATTACGGGAAACATGGCAAAAGTTTAGACAGTAGCTGAGAAATTATTTTCATTTTGCAGAAGAAGCTCAAAGAATTTATTTATAACACCTAGCATTTATAAGCGTTTAATTTAATTGCGCTACGCATAGACGAAGGGAGAGTACTCGAACAAAAAAAAAAAAGAAAAGAAAAATGCTGTCCCGAGGAACCCTCTGCCAAACTCAATCGAATCGGGAAAGAGAGAAAATGAATTTGCTTGTACTCAATTCTTTATTATATTCCGAACGTTTAACGTTTCTGTTAGCGCGGTTGTTTATAATATTTACTTCCAAATGTATTCTTTCGTCTATGTGTATGTAGTAAATAATTGTATATATACACCCACGAATGATTTATCATGCAGATTTCTCTCCACAAGCAGATCTGCCCAATTGGCAGCGCGTAAGCTCAACTCCGATGATTGGACAGATCTGTTTCAAAGCATTCCACTGTAAGCAGTTGGTAGCTTTCTGTTGTTATAATGACCTTTGTATGATGCTTATGCGTTAGGCAATATTCGCGACAGGTCATTATAAACATAAACTTATACAAATATATATTATACTCTCAAAGAATGATTTGTCTATATGAGATATTTGCTACTGACAGTGCACACATTGTCTCTTTTAATAAAGTATATTATCAATAAAGATATATATTGTTTTACATGAGACATGTTAAAGTGATTGTATCTCTAAAGCAGTCCTTCCACCTGATTGTCCATCCAATTGTGATATGTTTTTCAATCCAAAAAAAAAGATGCGTTTATTTTGTATTCGTTATCACTATTGGATTATTGTCGAATATCCCAAATTCAGTTGTGTAAACGTTGCGTTTTATCCATTTTGCTCCTCATTCAAAAATTATTTTACTCAAGCATCTTCAAAATATCTTTGATTTTTTTGTATTGTATATATATTTAAATCTTTCTTTTTTATAAATTGCAAAATAAATTAATTTTACAACTATTCGGTATCGCTAGTGAATAATTCCTTAATATTTCAAATTTAGCAGATACATTGCGCTTTATTCATTTTTCTCTTCACTTAAAAATTATTCTTGTCATCTTCAAAATATAATCTTCAATTTTGATAATATTTAATATACGTATATTTCAAATTTCTCTTTGGTAAATTGCAAAATAAACCGATTTTACAACTAAATTATCACGCTATTGTAGAATAGATGATTCTAAAATGGCGCCACTCGTAGTTGATCTCTGCGATAGATGGTGTTCAAGATGGCTGTTTATCTTCTTTTTTTTAGGCTCATGACCATCTGTTCTTCCGGTGAACGCAGCGCGAAATCATACGGTTGCTAATGCGCGTGCGGAGGTAAACGTAAACGGTTGCTTTTGTTTTCAAATGTCGAGCGAACCGGTGAGGTTACTCCGTGTCTACGTGCCAATTAGAGATTGAAAGATTGCGGGGAAATAACTGAAAGTGAAGGCTTCGATCACTGATTCAAAATATTAATACAGTCGCAAAATGTCCAGCATATTCAATTTGTTAGGCGGACTCGCCGAGCCTGACGAAGGTAAGCAAAATGTGTTTTTACGGTTAGTTTTTCATAAAATATATATCGTACCTCTGTGTGGGACATTTTTATTTTGGAACGTTCTAAACTGAACAATTATATTATTTTGAATAAGAATGATGTTTTACTGTAATATATGAGAAACGTTATGGCTGCGTTTGCTTTGGGCGCTTTCGTGCTGAAAGCGTCAGTCTATCTTTATTGCTCATTACATGTTAAAAAAGGATGGAGTGATGCTTTCAGCACGAAAGCGTCCAAAGCGAACGCAACCTATATTGGATAGAAAACAAAGTTGGAAAATGTGTGTAATGTATCAACTTGTTTATAGGTCAGATAAAGCCCATGGAACGATCCAAAACGTCTCACGAGATTAGATTGAATTCCTTAAAGACGATGGGAGGTACAAAACCAAAGGGGCTTTCAATAAGATCTACCTCTGATATGAATATATCGAGCATATCTTCGACCAAGAAAAGTATGCATGATAAAGAACAGGATTGTTCAAAGTTGAAAGTAACGCAAGTAGATTATCACGGACTTCCAATATCTCCTGGAAAGCAAACGCCAGCAAAGGTAGTAAAACTTACTTTTGTCGTATAAATGTATTTTCAGTATATATAAACATAATATACATTAAGCAATTAAAATAGAATTTTCTTTTAAGTCTTAAAAAAAGATTTTTAGAAGGAAGCTAAAGATATTTAGTCTATCTGCTGCAAATTACTTGTAATATTTATCTTTATAGAAACTATTTGCACAGTCACCCAAGCTTAAAGAGTTCGTGCTGAAAGAAGCTACTAATAAATCTACAAAAAAGCAATTAAACGATGGTGTTTTTAAGAAACCATTGCTCCTTAAGAAGAATATTAGAAGAACCCCCAAATCGGAAACACTGGCGCATTGGTGTGACCCCCAACATGATTTTGGTAAACAATTATCCTTATTTGATAGAGAAATAGACAATTCATAATTTAATTGCGCTATTAAGATTTGAAACACTTACAATTTAATTTTTCGTACAGATTACGGATACATTGAGGCTGTAGAAAAAGAATTTAAAGATTTGCTCTCTAAGGAGAAAGAAAACATAAAGCCTTGCGAAAAAAATGTGCTTGCGTCAGGTATGAAAGCTTAATGTTATGTAATATTTATAATATATGTTTGCTTATCAATTTGATTTTTTCTAGATTCAGAAAACGTGCTCTTGCTAGATATTCCGAAACTTGTTGTCGATAAATCTCCCATTGAAGAGCTTCTCTCTCCCGACTTAGCCGAAGTGTTTGATATATCTGACAACGAAAATCTGTAGTGATATAACTGTAACAAGAATTATTTTAATTTTATAATTTCATAATTGCTTTTTTGTAAGAGTGGATATTCAAGACCCAACTAGTATTATAATAATTTATTTTCTGCAATTGATATGTATTTTTGTATTTATATCGTTAGAACACACTATAATAATTAAGTACTCATTAAGTTACATTAAATCAATAAAAAAAAGATTTGACGAATGTGTAGTTTACATCACGATATTTATATGTATAACAAAGATAACATAATTTAGGTGCTTTTTGAGTCTTTATGTAATGAGCTCGCAGTCATTTTAATTACTATAAGTGTTCTTTTATTCTTATTAATATATCTTAAAATAAATTACATTGTAAATTTTATATATGAATAAATCATTTTATTTTTAAGTGATTTTTTGTTTTAGTTTTTACATATAAAACAATATTCATATGAATACGTCATTTACACGAAATAATGTATGTCAGTTTTTGACTGTAAAAATGTCAGACAAATGTTTTATCGTGATAGCAGGAACTATGGATAATTTATCATTTCACTACGCCTGCTTCATCGCTATGAATCTTTCCAGGTCATTGCCGAATTTTCACTTCAAAAAAATTTGTAAAGATGCAACAGAATGGGAGGTACACACAGAAACATCTTTATAATTTGATCTCTTATTGACATTATTATATTATCTTTAAACTCTAATCATTTTTAGGCTTGGATTCGTGCAATTTGCAAATTGCACGGCTGGGAACACGCGAAACCTCCTTTGATATGGAAACAATGCGGAATAAGCGGTACCAAAGTCACTTACATAGGTGATGTCGACAAGTTTCGCGGACTCTTGCTTGAATATTACAATATACGTTTTGACCTTACGAGAGAGGAATTGGAATTATTAAAAACGGATCTGCTGCGCGTAAGCAAATTGGTGAAAAAGGCACGGTTAACAATTCCATCTTATATTCTTGTACTCTCGTTATGCAGGCACACGAAGTAGAACGGAAAATTGGCCGTTTAGAGACAGAGGACGAATATCGTCGTGTGACTATTGTAGGCGCCGATAGATCGCTATGCCTAGACCTAATTCCTCAGTTAATGACAGTAAAGGAGTTACATTTGTCACGCGGAATTGTTTTTAGTTTATACGATGAGCCAGAAAATTTGTCTAAGCTTGAAAGGATAACGAATGATATAAAGAATGTCGATGAAAGTTTAAATGCAATAACGATCATACAAGATATATCAAATGGATTACGCGACTGTGATATATTAATATTTCTCGAGGATATAACAAGGTATGAATAAAAAAGGCTTATAATAAACTAGTGCTTATTCTAAAAATAAGCATTATTTCGAGATTTAGAAATAAGATAAACGCTTCATTCTTTGATAACGTTATGAAGTAAAATATTTTAAGGGAAGAGTGTGAGGAACACGATACTTGGTATCAGAGGAATTACGACCGTATGAAAACATTGTCAAAGCAAATTAATGAGTACGCCTCATGTCACATTAAGATCGTATTCTGCTCTACGGGTGCGACGTGCCTCTGCGCTACCATCCTGCGGAATCTCGTAGCAAAGCTACCCGAAACGAGTATCGTTGTTGTTAGCGCTCAATATGGATTAGAGGTGATAGGTGATATCACGGAGTCTCTGGGCACGGACCGGCGGGATTTCGGCTGTCCCCCGGTATGGGGATTTCTGGGTGCAGTATCCGACTATACCTTTTGATCTGTTGAGACAAATATGGAAACATGCGATATACATTGAACAATACTGTGAATTATAGGCATCAGTCAGTTTGTAGATGTGTGCCATATGGTACAGAAGTGTAATGCATATAGTCTGCGGAATGGCGATACTTTAGAAGCGAAGGAGAGCGTGACTTCGAAGTTGCTAGGGGTCGAGCAAGCCGAATTAAAATGGTTTTTTTCTTTCAAGGATAATAAAAATCTATACGAGGATTATCTACGGCGTAGGGTATAACTAAAAGTTCTTGACATTGTGCCCATGTATATTTTGCGTTATATATTCTCGTTTATTTTTTATTAAAATATCTAAAAAAAAGATCTGAACTTTACAATCAGATATATCTTAGGTCACTACTCAACACCAAGCTAATCCACAAAAAGAAAATTTGCGAAAATGCAGGGCCATATGTGATCTATTAAAATTATGGTACAAGGAAAGCGTCGGCGATGAAATCATAGCTCTAGGAATCTCGTCCGATGGTAAACAATGTGTATTTTAAACTTTTAAAAAAGTTGGGATGGAAATAAGATTTGCGTAGTTGAAGAATTCATTTTTAAATTTTATTTTTAAACTTGAATGCACATTTTTTAGAAAAATTAAGATCATTATGAAGCAATGAAGAGCTCTCTTTAACGCACGCTCTCCATTCTTTAGAAATATTCATTTGGGACGATTAGAAGGTAAAATCTTCAACCATGATGTCTTCATTACAGGCAGTTTCGGTATTCCGAGTGGAATAGTGTTTTCACAGCCGGCATGTTTGAAGATTTCGGACGACGGTACGCGAGTTTGGGTGCCCTGCGACGATTTTCCCTTGCCGGATATGCCTGTATCAGTATTTCGCAATTTGATCGCCACAGCCGTGGAAATTACACGACGGCTAATGAGCGCAGATAAAATATAAGCTAAAAATCTCGAAAAACATTTTACTAAGAGATTATAATACCTTCGCGATAAATAATTCGTTAATGTCCATTATTTCTACCGATGTGGATTAACTTTAATATCTCTTTTTATTTTTTTTCTAATGCTTAGAACTGAAAGAAATTAATAAAAATAAGTTGAAAGATAAGATAAAAAGTAACTTAAGCCGATATTAAAGTTCATCTGCATTAATACAAATAAACATAAGAGATTCGATAAAACGCGTTGGTGTTCTACAACGTTTTAAATGTACCAGAAAATTGCGTCGAAGAAGTTCGAAGCGTGACCACAGTCACCGCAGGGCGCAGATATTGCTGCTCGCGAGAAATAAATTTCTGTCAATAAATCCTGCTTCTCGAATGACATACGCGAATTAATTTATAATATAGACGTGACAAACGGTTGCTACGTTTTATTGTAAGACCCAGCACAATATATTAAACGTTTGTCTGTAATACAGATTGATATTTTTATCTCGAGACCCAAAATTATGCTCGTACAGTGATTTTAAAGGTTAGGTCCTTTGCGATAACGAGTCTATCATTTATAAATCCTATTGTTATGTCAACGACGCAGTGTTTGCTCGGATAATTTATATTGAGCGTACAAGTACGTTTGTAACAAACGTAGTGACGCAAAATGGAAGTGGATCAAAATGTTGCACAAGCTCTATTGACACAAGGTGCCACGCTGGTTTTGCTAGACGTACCGCGGGGCACCGACATCGGTATTGATATAAAGTCCTGGAATGTAGGACAGAATTTTAAAGGGATCAAGATGATTCCACCTGGGATTCACTTTGTACATTACAGGTAATACACACGTGCTAGCGCAATTCCAAATCCTTACGTCACAATTGTCAAACTATACAAATACTTGAGTATACAGAGACTGTTTAAATTCGCCGAATGATCCAGTATTTATTTTTTATAGTGCGGTGAACGAATTTGGCGAGTTGGCGCCTAGAGTTGGCTTCTTCCATGATTTCCAGAAAGGTGAATTCTTAGTAAAGAGATGGGATAACAAGGAGGAAGATTTCAGCTCGGAACGTAAGCAATCAGGATTATTGGTAATAGCGCGAGATCCCATATTAACGTATTACATGAAATCTTTAAACAGCTGTACCTGAGGAGACAGTTCAGAGGTTGAGAGATAACATAAAAGAGTTGGACAGGTATTTAGGACCGTATCCGTACGAGATATCAAAACCATGGGCGAAATTAACAAACGGGATCACAGCGTCTCTCGTGACGAGATGCTCGCCACTATGCGGGTAAGTAAGATGCGAAATCTTGTCTACCTAAAATTGAAACTGAATGTGTAGCTGTTGGAACATTGTATTTCAGTTACGTGCGATCTGCTTTGGAATTGGAGCACTGCAGCGACGCTTCGAGACCACGTGGCAGAGAATCTAAGAGCAAACGAAAGAGATCCAGTAGGCTCACGGAGGAAGACAAGGAGGAGGAATTGCTGCCGGATCTGAAACCGAGGCCTGGTACAGAACTCAGGCTCACGGAAATGCCGGATAAGCATTATCCCGATGACGCGACTCCGAGCGAGATAACGCGGCATTCTCTCGACACCAGTTACGTCTTGGACACCACTCTGAAAAAATTACGAGAGTAAGTCCGGAATTGAAACTTAGCTTTAAGGCCTAAAGGCGGAAAGTTGTGATTCGTGAAAAAAGCGGGTTTCGTGTGAATATCTAAAAGTAATTGTTTGCAAATTTTTAGACCCGTTGAGATCATCGGGGAGATGCAGCTGACGTTCGTCTGTTTTCTAGCTGGTCAGAGCTTGGACGCTTTTGAGCAATGGAAGAAACTTGTATCATTGATTTGTGGCGCGGACAACGCGATTCCACAGTACCGTTCTATCTATATGGAATTTCTGCAAGCCCTGGAAGTGGAATTGTCGTATGTGCCGGAAGAAGTGCTGTGCGACATCGTGGCGAGTAATAATTTCGTGTATCACAGTCTATGCAAGTTATTCGGGAACATCGAGTCGAATTCCGAGGTGGACGGTCGATTGAAATCGTACGCGAAGCGTTTGCAGGGCCGACTAACCGCGAAGTTTCTGTGGGACTTTTCGAATTTGCTCGAAGAGGCGGACGATGAAGCGCCTGTTGTTGTAACTCTGGCATAAACGCAAATAAATAATGATCATGAGGTACGAATCAACAGCGTTGTCTTTACATGACTTATAAATAAATAAATAATTATAAATGAATCATATCTTTCAATATTTTATATAAACTATCTATAGTTCTTATTGATCAATATTATATTTAATTTTTGAATTTTATTTGATTTTTTTCCATACCAAAATCATCCTTTCTTTCTCTTTCACTAATTTCACTATTTTAATTGTAATTACTTCTTTGATAGTCATTTCAAATCACAAAGTTACAGTACAGTTGAAAATATTAACAATTAAAAGTTATACTTTGATAAATCTTTAATTTATATTATATAATAATTGTACTAATTATATTATTATAGTAATTACATTATTAGATAATAAACAACAGTTTTTCGAAGGATTAAAAAAAAAAAAAAATGTTTCCGCCCGGGATCGAACCGGGGACCTTCCGCGTGTTAGGCGGATGTGATAACCACTACACCACGGAAACATATACCGGGACCCCTTTTCGCTACGTACTTACTTCACATAGTATAATAAAATAATTGAATGTGTTATTTTATTTTAAGATTTATTTATTATTTATTATTAATTAACATTAGAGTTACAGAAAATTGGTTACAGGGTTCTAAAAAAATCTTACTAATTGTTCACTAAATTCGATATACAATTTCTTAACAATATATACGCCTAATCAATTATAAAAATTTTCTTACTTTTAGTCATCCAAGTTAAAATATTTATTTTTTCTCACAAACTGGTTGATTTAGCTTTATGTCAATAAAGTACATATATTATATTTTTCTAACTAAAGTATGCTAAAGTACAACGTGCTGATACCTCTCAACCTGTAGATGAGAATTTGTTTTCCAGTAACTATCACAAAACTACCATGCTGTCCTTGGTTTCTTTAATCTCTTCGCTCCCCTCGTTAGCAGTACGACTAGAATACAACTAGAAAACAACAAATTTTCACACAGTGTGTAATACAAAACCGTATTGCTTGCTTTTTTCCACTATTTACAATACGATGTAAGATTATTGGAGAGAAATATTCTACAATATTTTTTTCGACATTGAATTAGTATCTTATGTATATATATTATCCTATTTCTTCTGTGTGTTATATTCTAATAAAACTAATATTTAGTTTCTAATATAATTATACAAGATGTAGGCTGTTTGTTTAAATCTTATGTATGTAGAGTTTCTAATTTCGTTAGAAATCTCGGGAGAGAAAGATCAAATAGTTCCATTCCAATAACCCGCAGCTGAATGTGAAAATAAACAAAGTATTTCGAAACTCTACCGAGAAACTGAAGATGGCAATTATTGTTTTATAAATCATCAAAAGGTTAAATACGTTAATAGCTTATTATCTGGTTGACACATGACACGAATTAGAAAATTATAAATAATAAGTTTATACGTCTTAAAACTCACCACGCGTCTTTGTATCGGGATTACTATCGGGATTCTATCACGGTTATCCGTTAATTTGTGTATTGGTGTAAGTTCAATTTCCGGTGGCATGATATAATCTTTGACTTCTTCTTCTACTTCTTTTTTTACTTCGCCTTGGCTATCATTCGTTATGTCAATCCGGTCCCAGCGCGGTTGCTTTAAGTACACATGAGAGTTCAATTTAATTTATAATTAACTTTATACATAGAGGAGTTTGCAAATCGAATAATAACAATAATATACGATTAAATTATTGCCAATTTCTTTTACATGCGTCTTATGTATTTTGAACTGACCGATCTATCGTGGGATACTTACGTTTGAATGAATACACCTTATATACCCCTAAAACAGATATTTCCTACTCAGTATGTCTGTCACGTGTACATTTTATTACATTAAAAAAAGATATATCTTTTCTTTACTTAAATACTTAACAAATTTATTACTTTTATTTCTTCATGTTGAAGCCAACACATTTTTATTTCAATTGCAGCAATTATTAATTAATAGTTTTGGAATTAATTTATGTATAAACTGACCCTTGATAGCGGATGATATCCACATATCCACGGTTTCGAGGATACTGCCACAATGCAAAACATAAGTAAGCATATTGTCAACGTCTTCATCTTTCTTTCTATTTCTGCAAAATCGTATCACATATAATTATAAAAAGTGACGTTTTACCGTTGTAATATTAAATATGTACTAAAAATAAAAGTCGAATATTATAGTTACAAATCAGTTTTCCACGAGCTTAAAGATAAAATTGTGTTAATATAACAAGAATGAAGTGATCCTGACACAAGAGTTCTATGAATTTTCAAAAAAATTGTTCTTCCTGAACAATATCTGTTATCATGAAAAAAAATTTATAACTTTATAAAGTGAATGATAATTAATTCACCTGTTTTCTTCCAGCGATAATACTTTCTTATTTCGTGACTTCACTCGTCGATGGTCACTTTAGACACAAATTATGAGGAGTAAGTTCTTCGAGCTGCTTTTTATAACGTCGGTGATAAGATTTTTTTTCACTGTTATTAATCGATAACGCCGTTTTATTACATTTATTTCGTTGCTAAATCATTTCTCCGTATCATCTGCAACATATTGCGTAGTGCCATTTACCCTTTTGACTCGACAGTGACGTAAAGCATACGATATATACGGTAATTGTAAATATTTATTTATTTAACAGAAAATGAATGAAATGGTCGAAGTAGATAGACTACCTTTTTTTTTGCTCGATCTTATTTATACTTTTAATTTCGAATTTGTCCTCCACAGAAGTGTAATTAAGACTGGGAATTAAGTATAATATCGAAAAACAGAAAATTGTTGCTCTAATAGTTTAGCTTTGAAATTTTAATTCTTGAAAATTAATTTTACGAGTTAATTTCGTCAACTTTAATTTTTATTTCAATTTGTCCCTAGACCGTTATTTAGTTAGGACGATTGTAAATATTCAGCAGTGTACGACTTTGTGTGCGGTCTACGTTTTGCGTGTTGATGTAGCATTTCCAATATCGTGCATCCATCGCACAAATTGCCAGAATGGCAAATCTAGCGTTTTTTTTTTTTTTTTAAGTATTGGTTCTTGGAATACTGGCGAAATTGATTATGATTACATTACTGGAATAAAACCCAAATATGACAACGAAGAAAATATAGTTTTTATTAATGCACATTGAATAATAGACAAATAAAAAAGAATTCGCCAAATACATCTATTAATGATATTAAGGGCATGCGAAAGTTATCTTCATTCAGGTGCAGAGGCGGCCGTTTCGAGGGCTTGCTTCTCCTTGGTCAATAGAGTGATTTTCTCGCCGTATTTCTCACGAAGACTTTGAAATAGAGATAACTGGGTTTCATATTCTTTCTTAAGATCGGCGTTGAGCCGCATCGCCGCGTCCATCTTGCTAATCATCGTGTTATGTCGATCGCGTTCCTCGGAAATCTTCTTTTCCATATTATCAACTTCAGCCTGCAATCACATGTTAGTTTAAACGTACAGTAATCCTAACACTAATGATGCACACCATCAATGATAATTTATAGTAAAAGACTTTAGAATGCTGAAGAAAGCAGGTGAATTGACAGGAATCAATTCGATCGGAATTCAATCTATATATGGATGGTTCTAATTCTCGAAATTAATCCCGAAGTTTCTTCACGAATTCCTTCTTATTCTAAAAGCCAGAAGAGAGCTCGAGAAGAGATATAAATGAAAGAAATGATGAATGCGAAATCTTTTCTTCAAGCAAGAGCCTGTTGGGGGTATCTTTTTCATTAATCGTAACTCGCATATGTAGAAATAAAAAGGGAATAAAATATATCATCAGCTCACTTGCAGCTGTTTCACCTCCATGTTACGGATCTGCAATAGATCCCGCGTGATCGATACCACCTCCTTCAACGAGGTCACCTGATTGTTCAGGGCGTTGATCTGGTTCTCCTGATTCGCGACCACGCGATTACGTTCCTCGTACATCAGTGCCGTCTGTACCAGCTGTCCGCGTAATTGTTCCACCGATTGTTGCAGAGGAATATCCTCGTCGCCGCCGTGATTTATTATCGCGTCGTAGGATGTTTGCAAGGCGGCCAGCTTCGTCTCCGTGTCTTCCAACTTCTTCCGGTAACTGTCGCACTCCATTGTTCTTTTCTGTCGGTCATATAAGGATTGTTAGACTTTGCACGAATGTTAATAACATATAAGGTGTATGAGGGATGGCAAGATTCCGCTCGCAAAGTCAACTATTTAATTTATTGTAGAAAGAGTAGTAGGATTTTTTAAAAATCAATAACACTTGAAATATAATAATTAGAATTAAATTCAAGATATCATCAATATACATTATATATGTTTCAGCGTTAATTATGTGGAAAGAGATATGACAAAAACGACCCCGCAAGAAAAACTGATTTTTTACTGGAGATTCAACTTCATTATCAAGCTGAGGTGATTCGGTTCTTTCAGGACAGTCCGCGTTCTCGGAGGATTTTCTCACCCGCACTTCCGCCTCCAATTTGGATATGCACGCCGCATTGTTACCCTTTGCATTCTGCTTTGACGTATCGGCCTAGAGATAATAATAATAATAATAAATAGCGAAATTTGTCAGTTATTTATTGCTTTTGCTTTCACCTTTTCTTCATTAGCAGATTTTGACGGTGACGTCTCTTCGCTTTGAAGAACGATCGCAGAACTGATAGATTCTTCAGTGGAAGTCTCTTGCGCCTCGGCTGGCATCACATCCACGTCCTCCGCAGGCGCACGAATGATCTCTGTGACTATATTAATAGTCTCTGCAATGGGTAGATCTGGATTGGCGACTTCTTCTCCGACAGGTATGTTCGCGTCGTTTGTTGCTTCTGTCGAACGCTCGGTTTCAGCCTGCGCGTTTAATACCTCTTTTGCAACTTCTCCCGCGGATGCGGCTGCATCTTCCGGCGTTACATCGGTGCTTTTCACCGCGATAATTGCGACTGTATTGTCAGCGCAATCGGGCTTTATCGCTTCAACTGGGGGCGCGTCTCCGCCGGCTGTGAGATCTGATTCCTCTACTTTCGACATCGCTCTTTCTCCTTTTTTCTACAAGAGTGATGAAAATTGTAATTTTTATTGTAACGGTCAATTCAACGTGGTAATTCCGAATCACGAAGAGAATGGAAAAAGACAGCAGGGAAAGACGGTTGACTTTAAAAAAAAAACAGACGATTGATACTTTTCTTTTGTTCACATTACGTTCTCTATTCAAGCGAATAGAATGTCACGCGCTAGATTCTTAATATAATAATATTCTCTCCCTCTAGTATAATAATATTAAATAATAACTTTCAACATGTATGTCATGAATTATCAGAGCTAATGACTGTGTTAATGAAATGTTTCTAATATTAACATTTGAATTCCACAATTCTAAACAGAACAATTCATTGCTGATCATGAACGGTTTGCGATATGTCAAAGATAATTTACCAGAAAGGACAGTGCACGGGTATATATCTGATATTTTTCAAATAAAATAAAACACTTTCATCGAAACACCGCTGTTAACCGGAACGACTGGACATCGACGACTAAGCTGAAGCGTAAAGTATTTTTGGCTGTTCGCTGTTCGTTCGCTATTCGTTCTATTTCGAGCATCGTCTCAGTTGCACTTTAATAATATTCGTATATAAAGGTACTGACATAAACAGTTTGTTTACAGAGATTGAATTATTTTTACTTGTATTTTTGTACATTTTACTGAATTATTTTTACATTTCTCCCATTAAGCATTATATATTAAATTAATTAAATTATTTGATTTGATATTATAAAATGAGATTCAACATTATAAAGTACAATTAATGTGAAAAATTTGTAATAATCTCAAGAAATATTTGTCTCGATAAATATCTAAACTAGATATTAAAATTAGTTTAAATTCAAATTTAATTAAGTTAAGTAAGCCAAAATTGTATTAAAGAAATTCAAGTAAATAGCTACTAATTTTATATACGATTGTTTCAGAACATACAGCATTAATGATTTGTCTGAAAATTTTCCGAAAGTATTTTAAAATATTAAAAAAATATTATTCTAACGTTCCTTATTTAAAGAAAATTAATATGAATTTATTCACTTACCAATCTATAAAAAGTCAAATTGATATAATAATAAATATTTATAATTCTCTTATGCTGTTGAATTGAAGTACAAATTCAATAATCTTTAAATTATTTATGAATTATAATAAATAATTTTTCACATCAACATGGGAGGGAAATAACAAGGTAACTTATTGTTTCATTTCAATACTGATAAAACTCTCTCTATATTAGTATATTCTTTATTTTAGTTTAACATAAAGTTATCACCTAAATTTTATTTCATACATACATTTCTTCCATTTTCGCATTCAAATGGTAAAAAAACGTGTGTATGTGTGTGTTGAAGCAAAACATTATATTACTCAATAATAAATAGTAATAAATCAATAAATTGAAATAATTTAATAAGATAAAATAAAATGATATAAAATAAGTCAACGGTAAAAAAATGAAAAACAACATCTTTTTCCTTTAACATCTAATAATAACTGGCACAAGGCCTTGTACAAATTGTTGTATAACAAACAATTATTATTTGATCCACTACGACTGGCGATGTCGAGTGAAATGTTATCCTTGATGGATACCTGGTAATATCTATCAAGTTAATCGATTCATCGTATTTTGTTGTTTATCCGACATAGAGGATATTTTCACGATGATAGTCAGTTTTTGGATATTAATCCCACGCTTCATCAGTAAACATTTTATTATCGATAAACACGTTGAAATTGACCTCGGCAGAAACTAAGCGAAATTCGTCATTTCATTAAATTTTATTTAAGTGGAACGTAAATGATTACGTTCGTTTAAATGATTACGAAATGACAGATTTACTCGGTTTCTGCCATCCATCTACTATAATGCATTATAATAATTCTGCTAGCAGATTTGGTGTATTTTTATTGACAAAATTTATAGCACTTTATTATAGATCTGTTTTTGACAGATTTAGCCATTCGGGTATATAAAGTTTATGAAAAACTTCCTTACCTATTGCTTTGTTACCTGTATCGAAAATACCTAATATCAGGTGGAATCGAAGATTATTCGTCGGCACACTACTTGAATTCTTGAAACAAGCTAAATGTAGCCTGCGGATTGCTTTGATGGCACCGGCACCTCACCTCTTATTATCTGCTGCACACGCGTATGATTCATGTCGGTATATTCGCTTCTTCTTTCTTTCGAAAGAAGGGGAAAGCCTGTGAGAATTCGATGGCCTCTCATACTCTTACCTCTTATCTATATGCACGCATGACTTATATCGGATATTTTTTCTTCGAAATATAAGTTAAACAGAGGCTATTGATTCGGGATAGATTTAATTACAATTTTATCTGGGAACTGATTTTTATAGTGTGCACTTGTAAACACAAAGACTGCGGCTATTTATTCCTAATAAAATGATCTTTTCAGCATACTCCGAAAAGGAGTTTTACTACAATTTTTCTATCCGTGAGTGTATGTAAGCGCAACATAAATTCGAATAAAAGAGAATTCAAAATATATACTTTTACAAAATTTGTATAAGAAGACATTTCGACCAGAAGTATCCAGATAACGAAATCTGTGTCCGTCTCTGTTGATATTTTGCTGATGACATAACAAATGCACTAGACATAACAAATCCAGCATCAAATCTGTAATCTTTCCCAACAAAATTTGTCGTAGACTTGATGAAATTTGTATTCGACAGATTTAGCTGTCTGGGTTCTCAATTGTATTATGCTCGATTGAATTAGGTGAATTATATTCAGAGATATTTTTTATTTTAATATGAAAAATTCATGTTTATCTGCATTGAGATATATCTTTCATCGTATTTATCATTTTCCTTTATTCTTTATCTTTACTTTGTCACTGGAAAATATTACAACACCTGTACTGATCCTACTGTTCATATTATCACTAATTATCACTTTATAAATACCATTTCAAAAAATTTGACATTGAATCAAAGTATTGAATAATATTAAATAATAATTCACACACACACACATATAACATATACATACAAAATGCAGTAATTTGTTCGCAATAAGGTATCAGACAGATTCCATAAAAAGACCGTTATGCAATCAAGATTTAATAAAATAATATATATGAAAGTCGTCTTTAAATATATTTTTTTAAATCACACCCAAGTCACAACCCTTCTTCCTGTTTTTCAAATGTGCTTCGAATATTTTCAACAGATGTGGCCTTTTTAAATGAGTGTAAGCGATAGACAGCATTTGCAGAGCTCTAGTTTGTACGTGAATGCTGCCGTTCGAGAAGAGATCGTGTCCCAGCTCTAAGCAAGTACCGAAGTCGCATTCGTCCGCGGCTATCGTCGCCAACCTTACGATCTCGTCCAGCTTCGCGATCGGCGTTTTTCTCTCTTCCGGAGTACCAGCTTCCTCTATCTGATTCAATATCTTTTGCAGATCACCTATATAAACCAGGGAGATACTTATTTACATTGCATATGTCTATAACGGCACGAAATTTATGTAATAATAATCGTGAATGATTTGAAAATGAAGTTAAATTAGAAAATAATGATTTGAAATACTTTTTGCCGTATGTATAATTGAATACATTAGTTATCTGGTATGTGGTGCAACCTCACAATACACGACTCTATACTTCTTTTCGTTTTTAAAAACACGAAGCAATCGAACAGTACAATTTATCATATAAAAATATCCTTCCTAAATATTATAGAGAAAAACACTTATTTAAACATTAAATTTAAGCGCATGGAACACTACATTAATGCATTTAATCGTACTTACTGTCTGTCGCTGCCAAATCTCTGTAACCCAATTGAGTCTTTTTATCATAAGGAACTACGATGCCTGCTCTGTGAAAGGTTCGTGCTACAACCCGTCTCTCTCTCGCTCGCATGTCTGCAGTATTTTTCTCCAGTGTTATATCGTGCTGTTTGGCAAAATTCTTCAATTGCGAATGCAAACGCGTTATGCTGGTCTTCTCGAAGGGATTGGCTGACTTCACTTTGTTTTGCAAATAACCGCTGTAATTTAAATAATATAGACAATAAAGGAATAATATAAAAGACTGATATAAACCTGTAGACGCAGATCTATATTAACTTTCTAAAATTTTCATATTCTACTTACTCGATAGCACCGAATATATTTTCTGCGACAGGTTCAAACACGCCATTCACGTTTGCTCGATTCGTCGCTACAAACACTGGTTTTTCAGCGGCATCATCTCGCCAGTAACCAAAATGTAACCCTTCCTTATCATCGCATTTCACAATAGTCTGTGGATATAATTCTTATGCTGAATCTACATTTCTAGAATACTTATTAATGCAATGTCATTTGTAGATATTGGTTTATTTTGTGTACCTGAAATTCCGGAGGGTCATAATAATATCTCCAGTGTGTCAAGTATTTTTCCTTATCGTTCTCACTTGAGGATATCTTTATCTTACCATCCAGCACGTCGTACGGACCCACAAGTTTCAAGCGAACAGACTTACAAGCCGAAAGAGGATTATCTTTTGATATACTTTTACAAAACTCGTAGAATTTAAAAAAATCGTCTGGCATCTCGACCAGAAATAGATCCATAATAATTCTTTCAACCTCAGATTTATTCTCAGATACGTTATGTTCGGTTGAATTATGTGAATTATATCGATTCAACGATATTTTCTCTCTCTCAGTCGACGCTTCTACTTTATCACTAGAAATGTCCTTATCATTCTCGTTGTTATCTCTAACGACATCAGTTCTCTCTGGACTTGGGGAAAGATTATGTAAATTTCTTTCATAAGGTTCCTGTGTCTTCTGCAATTTTCTTTCTGGACTTTTTGAATGCGCTTTTCCGTTATCTTTAAAAGGATTTTTTCTCTTCTCTCCAGTCGCCTTCTCAGTTTTTTTTTCTACCTGTAAAATCGAAAAGAGATAAGTAACGACTGTGCATTCGAGCGATTCCGATCAACTTAATCGGCGATTGAATTTAACTGACAAAATTGTTTAAAGCAAAATTTCGAACTATATAATTCGTTGTTTCCCTAATCATTTCTTCCATATGTACAATCAAAACTAACAATTCTATCCAAGTTAATAAGGCTACGGTCAACGTGATGCTACAAATGCTTCGAAGCATTCCTCTTCTCTTTTCTTTCAATGAAGAAAGAAGGAGAAGAAGAACGCTCCAAAGCATTTGTAGCATCACGTTGACCGTAGCCTAAAACACACAGTACAGGTATTATTTATTATAAGTTAATTACCAAATAAAAGTGAATCAAATGTTAACATATTAATCAACTATAAACGGGTTTATTGTAAATTATTCACCGAGCAAGTTAAATCATATGTTAATATATTAATTAATCTTAGCATATCAACCGCAAGTTTGTTACGTTTTTCATCAGTTGAAGATTACACGTTACCGTTTCCTTTTTTGGCGGGTGCTTATATTTGCTCTGATGCTGCGAATTTTTTTGATAGCACTTAACACCGTACTGGCAGGGAACTCGCGGATCGTCTTTGTACGCCTGCATTTGGGAGTCCTTGTTGGACGACATCGTAAAAAACATATTACACTGCTCGATTTTTCGTCATTATCGATAAATTATCTTTGTATGCGGTCCGTAAGACGCAAAAACACACCGTTGAGGTTATCTGCTTTTTAGATGTCTGTTCCACTGTTCTTTGTGGCTACACTGTGCTACACTGTTGTACTTTCTGCACTTTACGAGGTAAATATATACATCGAATATATCTATTTTATTTTGAGTGTTAAAAATGTAACAGTCCAATTACAAAGAAAAGATCTATCTTTTGAATCGTTTATTTTTCTTCTTCAATTATTTAATTGTAATTGCAGAATATATAAGGCAACTACAAAGACAAAGTCTGTTCATTTTAGTTACGCATTCTTTTATTTCTTCCTCTTTCCCTCTCCGAAAATGCGCACCTGTTGCGTTACCTTCTCCTTTTTTTTTTCAATTGCGTCCCAATAAAATGATGAATTAGCCTCTTAGCTGCAATTTTTAAACTTTACGCTTAAATGTTTCCCCTTCCTCTTCCAAAATTTAAACGTACTCGTCCCACTCGTCGCAAAGTTGTTTTATCAAACGTAAGAGTTTCTAATTTTTCAGGTTTGTAAATACATTTGTATCTTATCCTACTAAACGTGTGGAATGCAAACATTTATATAACCATGCTTGATCTTTATTATTTAGTAACATTCTTTAACAAATTGTATAATATTTCATATTACGTATAATGTATATATAATATGGATATAAAGTAATCATAAAGAATGAATATATTATATATTGACAATAATTGAAATGTAATAAAAATTTGAGACTTCTAGTTACGTTCGTCTAATTAGGATGTAATTCTCTTCTTACACTTCCAGTGAACTGGCATACCCCCGAATCGCACGTTTGCTCTTCCTCTGTTCCTGCTTTATTTCATTTCATATGCAAACTGAAACAAAGCAGGAACAGAGGAAGAGCTTCTCTCTTGACGAAGCCCAAGAATTCTCTTGATAAGATACGCCGCAATCGTTGATACTGAACGAGTAACTTGTCCCGACGAACATCACAGAAGTTTCTTCTTTCGTGTTATACGGTAGGTATCGGCCTTATTATCGTAATAATCGCTTCCTTTCGCTTTCAACGGAATGTTTTACGCCACCGCTCGTGCCTCCGGTAAGAAACTCTCCCAGTACTTAACGAGTTGATTCTGATGTTGCAGCATCGACTCCAGGTATTCAATCAGCTGCTTCTTGAAATCCTGCACCCTAACTAATTCGAAGCGTTCGACCTCCTCCTTTATCATCTTCGAGATATTGTCAAATTCTTCCTGGCCTCTATCCACCTTCGCCTCCCATTCTATGACCTCGGTAGCTGCTTGACTCGTCTTGTCCGTTCGGCCTGATTGCTCGAGTCGCGCCTTCTGTTCTCGTTTCTTATTCAACATCAACTGGGCGTGTTGCCAATTTTGAAAGACTTTCACTCTCTCGTGAAAAACATCCTGTAAAGCAACGTTGTATGTAGAAAAAAAATGTAAAAACATCAAAAACACAAATGCAATCGTAAATGGTAAACACCAACTTTAATTGCACCAATAAGCGCGACGTAATCCCTCAACATTTCTGCAAATTGATAGAGATCGCTGTTGCTTTGCGTCTTCCTGATCACTTCCACCTTCTCCAGAGTTTCGGCCAGTTGTGCCAAAGCTCTGCCAAGAGACGCTCCCGGCTCGCCGTGACCAAGAACGGCAATCGACTTCGCCGTAGCACCAGTGCAGTTTGCCAATTCCCTTCTTTGATTCGTTAAGGAATCGACCGCGGAATGCAAAGCGCGTAACTGAATATCAAGGGAATCTATCTGCGATGTTTTCTCTTCAAACCACTGCAAAAGAATACAGATTCTTATTCACTTCATTTCTCTTCAAGTAACAAATAATCATGCATGACAATTGGTATATATCATTGTTTTTTTACTGTACTGATATAAATTATTGTAATATATATTTTTACGATATTATATTGTGCGATAAGAATTAATGATAATTTGATTGATAGCCTTGTGGACTTAAATTTAAAAAAATACGTGATAAATAACGAATCTCCACACGATGATTTCAAATGGACGTACCTTACCCTCCTATTGCAAGCAACAAAAAATTGTTTCACGATACTTCATAGGAAATACATGCAAGAAGAAATATGTTTACATTGAAAGAATCTCACCATATCGCTCTCGTCCATTTTGTATGTTATTTTATTAACCGTTTCCCCGACTTTGTTGAAAAGCCGCATTACTCCTTTACCACTCAATGCAGACGTATTAGTGGCCTTGGGCAATTCTACATCTGGAAACAAAATTATTATTGATATTAGTCGAAAAAGGATTTAATAATTTATTAAAAGTGGCATGTAACTTGTTAATAATTATCATTTACCAGCTTCTAAAAATTCTCTGAAATCAGGATCAATACTCAGAACTGGATGTGCAGCTGTTCTGTTCAAATACCTCTCGAGGGCTGCTCTACGTCGCTCGAGAAATTCAGTGGAACTCGAATTTTGTTCCTGACTCTTGTCCCCGGACATTTTAATCTTCGTAGTTCCTGTTAACATAATCCACGTTTCTCGATGACTTTTCTACAACCGCGAATAAACTGAACAAAAATAAATTTCACATTCCTACCAATTACACTTTTTTCTGGGGCCGGTGGAATTATCCTGCCATTCCTGAGATACTTCTCCGTCAATTTATCGTGAAGACCTAGAAAATCGCTGAAACGCCGAATCACGCTAAAGTTCCTTTTCTTAAAAATAAGCATATTCGTTCTCGTCTCGACTTTGTACGCGACATAGGCACCCATTCCGTCACCTATCTTCTGAGGCGAGGTAACAGTAATCTTCAGGAAAACTTCAGACGTATCTGCCGGGACCTGCGCAAATACAGCAAATAATAAATAGCACAATGTAAAGCTACAATTGTACATTTTACGCAATCTAATACGTACCTCTTCTAAAGATCGAGAATGAATAATGTTTGTGGACAGACGATCCGCGTTGTCGTTGATAGGAACATCGTGAAGATCCCCGATATCCGTGTTCATCGGTCCTAGCGGAGGACTCAGGGGACCCGGAGCCGGGCTGGACATCGAGGAGAACGAATTCTCCTCCGGCATGTCTCGCAGGGACAGCTTTGGCAATTCCGCCTGGACCTTGGACACTCCGTTGTAAGGCGACGCATCCTCCAGTTGATTCTGTTCCTGCAAAACGAACGCGAATATGCTCAATTTGCTCGCAAACCCGTCAATTTTTATTATATATTTTTTTGTAAAGCGTTAATATCGAATCTCGCGCAACTACGCGCAACTACGAACGAATGCAGATCATTCTCGCAGCATCGCGGAACAGGAGCTCGTCGGGATTACAATATATATAAATTTTTTTTTGCTCCTGCTCGTAAAAGATTAATCGCTGGTCGCTGATGATACCTGCAGCGCGGACGCGAAGATATCCTCGTCGTTGTCCTCCAGGTCGTCCAATTTCGTCTCGTTGGTGTCGAACAGAGGCGGCGACTCCGTCATATCGGCCATCTTCCTCGGTTCTGTCTGGTTCTGTCAAGCGACGGCGGCGAGCGGGCGAGCAGCGACGGTTACGCTCGTCGTGGCCGCCAGGGATCGGCCCCCCTGATGACGATTACGCAGTGTGTCGATTATCGCTGTCGGTATCGACGATCAACGCCCGGCGGCTGTAAAGCCAGTACAGGCTCGCAAGCGTGCAACTCGCTTCCGCGCGAGAGAGCGAGACCGTACCGCTCAGTACCGCTCGCGCGACTCGAGGCCCGTCCTTTGTATAGATGTATGTGCACTTTTTATCTTTTCTCCTTTTCTCTCCCACGTCTAATTGCGCGCCTATTTCATCCCAAGTACAGAAAGTGTAAAATAGCGCAGCTAACGAAGAACAGGGCCGTCGGTGACGTCGGTGTTTCATTAAAATCCTGTTGTCACTATCCCACTTGTCCGCGTGTCAACGCGGCGAGTAGCTGCAGGTTCGTTTTTTAAAGGCATTTCCTGCAATTCCAGTTAGTATAATCTTCTGCACCACAGGGGTTCCCGATCTATCGGCTCCTCGCGAGCGAGATCCGACCTCGTCAAGTTTTTTTATCCGACTTGCCAAGAAATGTCAACGTTATAAATATAAAGAAATTTTTTAACGAAGATAATTTTGTTCTTATATGATTTTCAGAAATAAAATTTCCGGCTCCCCGCGGTCACTATAAAAATTTTAATATGAAAAGTTGGGAACTCCTATATTTTTTATAATGTGTACTCTGCACTGTTTTTTAATCTCTGCGTTTTAACTGCAATGGTTTTATTAACGCTTTCATTCGTCATCTCTCTCTCTCTCTCTCCACTCTCCGCGATGCTCCAACATTTATTTTATTTTTAAATGCGCAAAATATATGTGAAAAATCTGTCCCTTTTAGCTGCATTAAATGTGTGTGATAATATTCTCTCTTCCTCCCTCCCTCTCTCACTCTCTCTCTCTCTCTCTTTCTCTTTTCTCTGTATTTATTTTGTATAATTAGATGGGTA